CTGGTGGTGGTAATGCGCAACTTCAATGTCGTCCCTTGAAGTTGACGCAGAGCAGTGTCACTGGCGATGCCCCATCGTAACATACGGTTTTGGGGATCCTTCTCACACTTGATGACGTCGACAAGCGTGTCACCCTTGACCAACGACTGGTTGTCATGCAGCAGCGACGCCATGGCGGCATCCTCGTTGATCGCCTTGGTGTGAATGCCCGTGTCCATGTGGAGCCACCCGATGACCTCACGCTTGTCATGCTTCTGGATAGGCATCGTGTCATGGAAGGCCAGGGTGCCTGCAGCATGCTTGGCCAGGAGAGGTCCCAGGTCGACCATGGATGGACGGTGGATCCCCACATCCTTCGCACGGGATGCCTTGGCTGCCTGGACACGCGTGGAGGCAAAAGCGGCCCATGGATCGGTCGGAGGTGATGGGTGGGCCGGTGTAGCCGATGTAGCCGAAGCTGCAGAACCACGGGGGCGCGGTTGCACGCGCGGCTGACTGTCTCCATGTGAGCCAGGGTCAACAGCACGTACAGGTAATGTGGCTGGAGCTTGCGCAGGGCGGCGGCGGTCCGCAGTACTGACGACATCCTCGGGTGATGGTTGTAGCTGGCGAAAATCACCGTTGGCGGCCAGCGGCGAGCCCAAATCGTGGATTTCAGCCATTCTGTCGCCGGTAGCGACCTCGGTGGGTTCATTCGATGGTGGTGAGGTGATGTGGGCACTATGCATAGGCGTGGAAGTGGGGGTGGCGTTGGTGGAGGCGGTCGCAGTCGAATTGGTCGGTGTCGTGGGGATGCGCTTCCGCGGCCGCGGAGCCATCGAATCAAGGAATTCCACGTCCATATCCCCGGAAATCAACTCAGGGGGTCCGGTGGTAGGTGGTGAGCCTGCATCCTCACTTTCCATAGGCGTTGAACCGTTGGCGGCGGAGGCAGCGGCGGGCGCAGGCGAAAATCGGCCAGAGCCAAAATCGCGCATTTCGGCCACCGGAGAGGTCAAATCGTGAATTTCCACCTCCATATCATCGGACACCATCTCACCAGGTCCCATGGTAGGTGGTGAGAGTGCATCCATGGTCTGCACCATAGAATTGGTGCCGGCGGCGACGGTAGCGGCGAGCAAGGGGGCGTTAGCTTTAGCGCGGGTAGATACCATAGTTGAGAAACTCAAGTAAACAAGTGTGTTGTATGAGGCAAAATAGGAACTATTCCTCGGTAGCTCAAGCGGTAGAGTGTTGGGTTTACAACCAAAAGGGCCCGAGTTCAATTTCGGTTGTTTGTATCTGCTTTTTATTTTCACGCCCCAGACACACATCATGGATATGTATGTACAACAGCGTCTGCAGCGTTCGGCGTCTTTCAGGTCTCACTGCGATACCCAGTATAGTCCCGACTACTCCCCACACCGCAATAGGAATTGCTGGCGTTACGGAGTTCCTTGGCGTCGTTCTCGGTGATTTATGCCCTTTGGTGAGCGACCGGGTCTCACCACAGGACATATGCCACCGAGAACTACGCCAAGGAACCCCGTAACACCAGAGACTGGCGTAAACACCACTGGCAACTGCAGCGTGTGGTGGTGACCATCACGGTTACGGCGTGTGTCCTGCGGTACTCAACTAGGCTTCGCCTCATGACACACCTAACCGTGAAGAACGCTACAAAACACTGCAGCCACCGTCACAAGACGTTGGTTACCATACGGCGCAGACACCTTCAAACACAAGGAATTGCCTAGTGTACCACCCCACATGCCATCGACTCATCCTCGCGCCAATCCAGCGTCCCGCAGTAATCGTAATTATACTTCGGGACACTGTGTATCCCAAACAGTGCCCCGCCGCAAAATCTCCGGCTCCTGTAGTGATTTATGGCAGCAAGAGCTGTTGCGGCGGGACACTCGTTTGAGATCATATATTGGTGGTATGTGTAGTCGTAGCTACGGTATATTAGCTATAAGCAAAGCTGGTGGCTAATTGTGTAAATGAAAACTGAATTACTACTAGAAGATCCACTATGGATCTTCTACTATTCTGTTGCTCTAAACATCTTGGAAGAAACGATCGAATAATCGGACCTCGCGCCATGGCACAAGTTGCCGAAGAAGTCCACCGCAATGAACACGACATCTCCCATCGGAAAAGTGAAGCCCTGTGGTTGCTAGAAGTTCTGCATCAGTGACCCCAGTACTTCCAGAAAACACCGCGCTTCACTGGCATCGGTGGTGGCCTTGTTGGTGTGTGCGTGAGTGCAGTTGAAGCTGCACTGATGCCCGACGCACACACCAACAAGGCCACCATGGGCAACTCCCACCGTTGCTAGCTAGGACTCTTGGTTTTGTCAATGGTCTTCTTGTGGGTCTTGTCGTGTTGGTGGTCTTTCGGTGCGTCGTGTTGACTGTGGCCATCCTAGTGGGCTTGCGGGGACTTGCCGGTGGTAGATTGCGGTGGGTCATGTAGTGGGCCTTCCCACAAGACCCACCACAAGCACTACTAAAAAAATGCAATAGATCCCGCCAAACGTACAATTACCGCTTGTATCAATCGTGATTGCGGCGGGATACTGGTTTGGGGTGTCATATAGGGTACCCAGTTACAAGGCAATACATTGAAGCTTTCCCTGGCGACAGAAGCGGTCCGGGACGAGTCACTTTTGGCGGTCCATGGCGTCAACTCAGTTCGTTGGAGTCGTTCGGCCGTGTGTGTCCTTCAGTGGTAAACGTAGTCTCACCGCAGGCGTCCGTCACTGAGAGTGAAGCCACATAATATCAATCCGAGACGACTTGCGGATCACCAGAAGCTTAAGTTGTCGATGGTGTTTGCAGCGTTCGTTGGAGTCGTGTCGGTTGTATTTGCCCTGCGGTGATTCCCACCGAAGAGCACGCACCACCAACACTACTCCAACGATCGCTGCAAACACCGTCAACCCGGTATAATGACATGCGCCATACTGTGTTCTGTGGCGTTTGAGGGGGC